AGAGGAGGAGCGTGGCAGTGGTGGTCCCTGCCCCTGCACACAGGCAGGTTTCAGGGCTATTCCTACAGTCGAGCCGCCAATATAGTGACTTGCTCTCTCTGACACTGGAGAGCACTAAGGACCGTGTCCTTTGTGTCTTGAATCTATGTGATAAGATTGATCTAGAAAACTTTCAGTATCTCCACACTTCATGTAAGACCTGGGCTTGGATAGTTTGGACCAAGCAGAAATGATCATTTGATATTAATTATAATATAAATCCTTTGGAGGATGTCTCCTGTTTTCATAATCATCAGATTTTACTGTTTGAGGAAGATTAAACATAATACAATTCAAGTTTTCATAACATTTAGATGCGCAAAGACTTCTGGGGCATCCTGTATAATATAAACTAGAAAGGACCCCATGAACATTAGCTAGCATTATATGTCAATTTAGGAATATAAGAACTGGTTGTACATTTCAAGGTTGAATTGACTTCCCTGTATTTGTATCAATTATTAGTTATAATTCCAAGCCTTTATGGTCCACACTGGCTACCGAAATGACTATGAGCAGAAGCAGCACCAGCAACATCAGGAACACAGCTCAGATTATGATATATTCCTCAAGCACCGTCAGTAATTATTCATCGCTCATTAGGCTCAGGCTCACCTCCTGGCCAAGAGGTCATCCCCAAGCATCCTGCATATCATATGCCCAGGATTACCCGGGATCAAAATTCATACTAAGGCTCTCCCAATATTACTAGCAGTAACCTCTGCTCGACCAGCATAACCTTTCGCTCCCTGAAGGTCCATGGGAGGATAACACTAAATCTTTGCCCCTTAAGAGGTCAGAGTTCTCTTTTCCCATGAAGCCTAAATAAGGACTCTCTGAACTGCATCTAGGGACTCAGAATCACAGTCTAGTTAGCTGGGGGAATCTTCCCACACTTCTTACATTCATGAAGACTCACTCTAGTGTGAATTCTCTGATGGACATAAAGTAGTGTCCTCAGCCAAAGGCCTCCTACATGCATTACACTCTTAAGGTTTGTTTCTTGAATGAATTCTTTGGTGTTGAGTAATGGTATCCTCTCTCTCAAGATCTTCCCACATTTATTACATTTATAAGGTCTCTTTCCAATATGAACACTTTGATGTCAAGTAAATATGAGCTGTAGGGGATGGCCTTTCCACACTCCTTACACTTATAAAGAATGTCTCGATGTGAATTTTCTAACATACAGTAATGTGTCTTTGTCTGAAAGCCTTCTGACATTGACTACATTCCTAAGTTTTCTCTCCAGTATGAATTCTCTGATGCACAGTAAGCTGTGACTTACTCATGAAGTTCTTGCCACATACAGTACACTGATAAGATTTCTCTACAGTGAATTTTAATGTCAAATAAGTCCTGAGTTATATGGGAAATCCTTCCCACACTCCTTCCATTCAAAAAGAATATCTCCAATATGAATTTTCTGATGCAGAGTAAGTTGTGTCTTAATCCTGAAGGCCTTCCCACATTCACAACATTCATAAGGTTCTCTCCAGTGTGAACTCTTTGATGGCGTAAGTTCTGAGTTGTAAAGAAAAGCTTCCCACACACCTTACATTTGTAAAGCATCTCTCCAGCATGAATCCTCTGGTGCACAGAAAATAGTGTCTTACTTCTGAGGCCTCCATACATTCACAACATTCATAAGTTTCTCTTCACTATGAATTTTTTGATATTGATAAGACCTGAGTTGTGAAACCTTCCTACACTCCTTACATTCATAAAGAAAGTCTCCAGTATGAATTTTCTGATGCTCAGTGTGATGTCCCTTACTTTTGAAGGCCTGTCCACATTCACTACATTCATAAGGTTTCTGTCCATTATGAATTCTTTTATAATGAACAAATTCTGAGTAGTAGAGAAAAGCTTTCCCACACTCCTTATATTCATAAAGAATATCTCCAATACGAATTCTCTGATGCACTGTAAGTCATGAATTACTTCTGAAGGCCTTCCCACGTTCATTACATTCAGGAGATTTCTCTCCGGTAAATTCTCTGCTCTCTGAAAGGAAGAATAAAGAGCTGATTAAACTGGCCTTTTTTTTTTTAACCCTTTCCCAAGGTTCTTAGTCGTTCAAAGATTTTAGAGCTGTTCTCTTGCGTTCTCCCTAGTTTCACTACTCACTAAGGATCAATTTATCTTATGTGAAAGTTTGATGACTCAAAGGTAACCTATGTAAATGAATTCATTTGAGATAAAATTACCAGAGGGGGATGAATGAACCCTTATCCAACTTTCATTGGCTGATATTTGAATAGGATAAGACTATTCAGAAAAAAAACAGATGACTTATGATATAATATCATATCATATCATATCATATTTCCTTACCCTTTGAGGTGAAAATAGGAAAGGAAAAGACTGAACAGTTTAAGGGGGAGACATAGATACATGAAGTAAACAGAATAAAGGAGAAATATGAGGGAAAAAATGTGACAATTGTTGCCATAAATTTCCTCTAAAAATCCAACATATCTACTTTGTAAGGAATTGATTGAGATTCATAAGAGTAAGACATACAGGTATTTTTGACAAGAGAAATTATTAATTGACTGAAACAGTACTGAACCTCTGGTAATCAAAGAAATTAAAATGAAAACAATTAGGAAGTACCAATAAATAGCCATTAGATTAGCAAAACTTCTTTAAAATGATAAATTTTGGCAGTGATGTTGAAATTGGTATTTAAGCTACTGCTGCCATTTTTCTTAAAAGTAACACAGCAATTTTAGCTAGTGGTACAAAACTGTTCATATCATTTGACACAATGGTCCCACTGCTAGGTCTGCATCCTTAAAATGTTACCAAAAACAAAGAATGCTCTAAATTTTTCACAACTTTTTGTGAAACAGCGAAGTAATGAAAACCTATAGGTCCAATACTGGAGTTATGGCCACACAAGCCCTGTCATATAAACATGTTGTTATGCCTTTATAAACATAATTTCAGAACATAAAGAAAAATAGGATGATATATAACATGATAAACTGAAGAAAGAGGAATTAGATTAGGATTAAGTATTTTAAAAAATAACAGCATCAAAGGAACATAATCATAAAAAGAAAACATAAGGAATTATGGAAGAGAACTCAGAAGCAAAAGGAGTACATTACTTTATACCTTAAGCAATGTGCACATTTTAAAAGGGAGAATGAATTCATGCAAGTGAGGCAGGAGAATGCCTGCTTATGGTAAGATAATCTTCAATGAACAGAATAGAAATAACTGCCTTGTACTGAGGCAACAAATTTCTTTGAGAGTAGAGGTACATTTCAGTAAGGAGATACACAGTAAGAGTAACTTTTTGAGGTAAAAAAATGAATTTTTTAAAGTCTCAGCTCCTCTTAACAGGCGTGAGAAACTTTGATAAACTACTTTGTTCAACATTTTACAAGAGCTTTGACCTAAAATGAACAACACATCAGTATTTTGCAATGACTCATCTGGTTCATTTTTATGTAGTCACCTGGAAAGTTGCTTCTTTGAATATCTGCCTCTGACATCCAAGGTGATTCCATTCTTTCCATCTGGTAGATCATATCTGGTTTAGAAACTGCAAATCCTGTTCATTGAAAAAGAAAAAGTGCTAAGGAGTCATTTCAGAATTCCATCATAAAACAGATAGATGAAATACTCCTCCCAACTCTTAGTAGAAAGGGCTTTTAAGGGTGCTGAATGTATCTTATACCACCAAGGGCACTATGTTAGCTGATTCTGAGATTTTTTTTCAACCATGCAGAGTGCAATGGGTTGGTTGAAGGGAAAAGTAGGGGTTTTTTTCTCTCTTTTTTACTTAAGATGGCAGAGGGAGAAGAAATCAATTTTTTTAAAGCTTAATAAAAGTCTTTAGATCAGAAAACTTAATAAAAGAACTCAAAACTAGTTCAGCCTCTCTTTGGGAAAAAAATAGGCATGCTACGTACCTCAAAGATAGCACAAAGGACCATTGAAGAATATTCTGTGTTAAGGTAGCATGGAATACTGAATAGGACTTAGAAAAAAATAGTTCATTTGACTCACTGCCTCTTAGATAGTGGAAACACTGTGTATGATGAAACCTACATTGAGATTAAAAAGAAAATCTTTTTCACCCTCGGATGTCATTGGTCCACTGCACCACCTGGCTGCCCCTACTTGATCCCTTACTTCTGAAAGAACTGACAGATAACAATTGCTGAGCCTGTGACTGTGATGTTGCAAGATCATGAACAACGGGAGAGGAACAACAGGAGAAACAGGAATGTTTTTTTCAAAAAACAGAAGAGAACAGGATCAGGAAATTGTGGTGCCATGCTGTTCAGTCCTGTTCAATTCTTCCTAACCCCGTTTGGGGTTTTCTTTGCAAAGATGCTGGAGTTGTTTGCCATTGCCTTCTCTGGCTCAATTTAGGGGTAAGAAAACTGAACTTTAAACAAGGTTAAATGACTTGCCCTGAGTCACAGAGCTAATAAAAGTTTAAGGCCAAATTTGAACTCTAGTCCTGCTGACCCACTCTGTGGACTGTGCCATCTAACTCTTCTCATAGTCTCAGTGAGTGCTTTTATCATCGCACAAAATTCTAGGTTGTATTCTCAAATGTTATTGATTTGTTTGTTTTTGCATTGCCTTTCCCTGCACAAATATATATTTCCCTTTCCCTATACAAAGAAGCATTCCTCATAACAAGGAATAAAAAGAGAAAGCAGTTCAAGAAATCCAATTAACACCTTTGTTGATTCAGACAGTGTAAGTTACGTTCCACAAATATAACCCAAGTAGCGGCCTTTGAGCCCCGAAGACCTGAGTTCAACTCTGGCCTCAGATATTTGATACTTACTAGCTGTGTGACCCTGGGCAAGTCACATAATCCTGACTGCCTCAGCCAAAAAAAAAAACCCCTCTAATTAACATCTTTATTGACTCAGACAGTATAAGTCATATTCCACAAATATAACCCACCACATATGCAATGAGGGGAAGAAGAAATAAAAAAAGGGGGGAGGTGTATCTGTCTTCCCCTGCTCTTCTGAGATATTGTTACTTTGAAAATAAGAGAGACAAGATGTATCATTGCATTTTATAATATATATTCCTTGAGGGGAAAATAGCCCCAGGCAAATTAAAAGGTAGTCAGATTTACAAAATGTATTATATTAAATGTGTTTTATATGTCTCATAATTTTACCATGGATGTTTATTTTCAAGAAGAGGAAATAATTAAAAATGTCTTCTCACTTCTGACATCCTTTCCTGTTGCATGACTATCACTCAAGTGGAAATTATGAAACACAAGAGTTTACTTAACTCTTAAGTGATAAACATGTATTTATTTCTTTATTGTTTCCCTAGGTCAAAGAAAGTGTTTTTCTAAACACTGTGGAGTGTTGTTTAATCTTTTAAAACATTTATTAAAAAAAACAAACCCAAGCTATAGTTAACTTGCTGCATTAAGTGATTCTTAGAAATAAAACTCCTTCACTCCCCTTCATTTGTCTAAAAGAATGATTTATGTGGTTTTTTTTCCCCTGTAAACTTTTCCTATTGTAATTTGGGTATGTTTGATTGTATCTTGTACTGTAAAGATATAGGTAGTGTGGTTTTTTATTCAGTTGTAAAAGAATTATACTTCAAAAAGATTTTTTTTTTGTCAGAATGTAAAGTTCCACATGGGTCTTATAATGATTTAAAATGTTATAAAAGTACTTAAGCTATACTTTTGATATCATAATGTACATTCATGTTAAATTGATCAGAATCTTTGCTAATATTTGAAAATATATTGTAATATCAAGTAACAGGATAGGAGAATGTATAACTTGATGTTATAAAATCTTTTACTTTAAAATTGAACTACAAAAACCTCAAATATAATCTGACTGTACTCTAGATTTTGAGAAAACAGATTTGAAGTAGTTCACAGGTATGGTAGGAATAAAATGCATTGGTCTTCCTAGCTCCAGATGTTGTGTCTTATGCATTTTGCCAACATGCCTAGTGTTGCCAGCACTGAGCAACTAGCACTAGAGCCGGCCCTCAACAAATTCCCCCTTTCAATTTTGCAAGCAGCTTGAGGTGATGAAACACAGTATGATGAATAACACTGCCCAAGAAAATGCATGAATCTCGCCTAAGCTGTGGTGAGCTATCTTAAGAGACAGGGAAAGAAGAAACACAAAATTAACACAAAACATAGCCAAAGTAGAAAATACAATAGCAAGCTAAATACATTTTTAAAAGGATTAAGTTGATCTATCCAAATTAACAATTTGTTTGCAATATCTTCAGGATCAATACCATCAATATGAGATTCAGCTACTTCATGTTGTATTTTGGATAATTGGCTAATTTCCCATGTAATATTTTCAGAGTGCCATGCACCCTGGAGCTTATTTAATATTTGTTCAATGATTGCCTTAACATTAGTGAAATTTGAATACACATATGGAGTTACACAGATAAAATCATATTTCAAATTGAAGTATGTTGTTAATAGTCCTATTTGTCTTCCTAAAGCTATCACTGACTGCTCTAAAACATCCAATTCTTGTTGCATCATAGCATCTATTTTAATTTGATGTTGTAAAACCACAGACCAATTATTAGCATACTAAGCAGTTCAAAATTGGCAGTAATATCATGAGGGGTATTAATATTGAAGGTAATATTAGAATTGTGCCAGGCCCCCAACAGGTGGGCACTTGTCTTATCTCATGAGATATTAGGATCTGAAGCATCATAGGGTAGCAGGTAATATAAATATATGAATATCTATAATCATATTGCAATAGCAACCTTGTTTTCAAGGGTTCTAACTTATCTGCTAAATACAATGTTGATTGTTCTAATAAATTGACTTTATACAATATATCAATAGCTTCTTGTGCATTAAGTACTAAACATATATTTTTTGCTAAGTCATATACAAATTATGCAGTTTAGATTTCAGATTGTAGCACAATAGATGAAACAGTAGTAGATACAATAAAAGAAGCAACAATGATTAAACCAATAATAAGGAGACCAATAATTTGTTTTGATTGACTTAAGGAGGAAGTAATAATTTGAAGAACATGTTCACCAGAATTCTGGAACTATCCGTGTGAAATGTTGGTAGGAAAATAGCAAAAGATGATTGTCCTACCAAAAGTACAATATAGTCATTATTATCAATACATTGTTTGAGAGTATAATTGACACAAATAACATTCTATTCAAAAGTAGCATTGGATTGAGTAAAATTTACATATCCATTAGACAAACTGGTATTAAAAACTGATTTAACAAGAAAAAGACAAGATTCAATATTGTTGCTAAATTTTGAAAAACATATAGGTGGTCCTGGATGCTAGAGATCTGAGGGTAAGTGCAACATTGACTTTGTCCTGGAGATAGGGATCTTCTTGTCTTCTGAATATACAGGTGTTATTAGTATATGTATAGTCCCAATTTGTCCATATATGTGAGGGGTTGCATCCAGGGTGGAAGAGGAAAATAAGTCCAGTGCTGAGCACTCTGTACATGACACACTTTAGCAGAAAGTAAAGCTACTATTGTTAAAAATACAAGTTCGGGAGTCTTCCCTTACTCGATGAGAGGGAGCTTTCACTGGACCCCATGTGGGAAGGCAACTTGTCACTGTAGATTGGCTCCTTCTGTGCTTTCCCCGAATTCTCATACTCTGTATTCAAGCTGTGAGTTGTTATATACACTCCGACATCTTTCTCCGGTATCCGGACAGGTTTATCAAAGTTATCTGAAAAAAATACAAGCACACCCTCATGCCCTCATTAGTAATGGATCCAGTAATGGATCCGGGCCTCTGGATGTTTTTAGGCTGGAGTGTACTCATCTTTGTTAATATTTAGAAAATTAATAGCCAATTATAAAAATTAATAGCCAATTGTCAAGAATTAATAACTAATTATCAATGTGGGGTAATAGCCCAGAATCCACCTTTTCTTGTTTAAAAAGAATAATTTTAATATCTTTGTTTTTAATTATGTAAAATGTTTGTGATCAGAGAAATGTTATAAAAAGTATAAAAGGAAAAAATGTTTTGCTAATGGAAGCTTCTCAGGAGCATTATCTGTTTTAATTTGTTTAAGTATACTCATAATTGTGAAGGCTTGTAAAATATGATTGATCACAAGTTTCATTGTTCTTCTTGTTTGTAAAGCGGCAAAAATGAAAGAAGAAAAAATATCCATTATAACATGAATATAAGAAAGCTTTTCAAAAGAAGGCATATAAGTTATATCCAGCTGTCAAATATGTTTGGGAGAAAAGCCTCTCGAAACATTTCAGACAGGCTATTAATTAAAAAATAATCATTATTCTTTATAGTATGTTTCTAATACTGTAGGAGTTTATTCAAAAATAGTCACAAAATGTTATCCTTTCTACTGTTAAGATTGTTGTATTGGCAGAATATAGTTAATAAAAGGCTCAATAAAAGCTTAATAAAAATTAAGTGCCAGCATTGTAGTTAAGAATCAATAATGGCATTGCTTTCAGTGTATAATTGTGTGTGAGTAATAAATTTTAACTTTACAGTCTCTATATTTTGAGAGACATAAACAGATTACTCGTTATCAGAAACAACATTAATAGGCTTATAATATCCTGCTATACCTGTACTTAACCCTTCGGTGAATGTCATGGGTGCTGAAGGAATGGGGTTAAATTTAACAATCTTTTTGAAATACCTGTGAATAATTGGTTAAAAAGATTAGTATCTTAAGAAATAAGTAATTATCAATATCAATATGACCAGAAGAAATAGTAATAGCAATTTGTCAATCCTCTAAAGAGGAAACAAGAGTGCCTAATTTGTCTTTTATTATAAGGTTGATTAATGACAGAAAGTAAATTTCCTGTAAGTTAAAAATTGTAGGGGACACTGGAGTACTAAGAATACCACCTGGTACCTCTTCATTTAAAGAAATACGGGTGAGTTGAGCTTCAGGAATTTTTCTGTTCGACTAAATAAAGCTCCTGTTTTGCTTCAGGAGTTAATGTCCTAGGGGAATTTAGATTAGGATCTCCTCTAAGTGTAAAAAAGAAATTACACAAGTGTTCTGTACTAATTTAGAGTGCTGGTCGAAGCCAATTAATATCCTCTAAGAGCATTTTGAAAATCATAAAATGTTTTTAAAGAATCAAGGCATAAGTGTATTTTTTTTTATTGTTTTACTCTTGTTTTGGTGACCATATGACCTAGGTAGGGAAATGGAGATTTTTCTTAAACTTTTTCTGGGGCTATAATAAGCCCATATTCTTGTACAGCTAATTGAAGCTAAGGTAATAAATGTGTGAGTTTGTTTTTTAGTGGAACAGCTACAAAGTATGTCACTATATAATGTATTATTTTTGCATTGAGAAATTTTTTCCTAATTGGTTGTATAGCTTTATTAACAAAATTTTGACACATTGTAGGGCTATTTTTCATGCCTTGAGGAAGGACTTTCTATTGAAACGTGGTTGCAGGGTGTTCTGCATTAACACTGGGTAAAAAAGCAAAACAACATTTGTCAGCTTCTTGCAGTGGAATAGTAAAAAAGCAATCTTTTAAATCAATAACTATCAAAGGCTAGGAAACAGAATTCATAATGGGTGAAGGGAGACTTCATTAATAGCTCAGAGGTCATGAAGCACCCTCCATTTCGCTGACTTCATTTTAATAACAAAAAGAGGTGAATTCCAAGAATTTGTAAAGAGTTCTATGTGTCCTTTTAAAAGTCTTGTTCAACTAATTGCTTTACTGTAAAATGCTTCCTTTTTGTCAAAAGCCACTGTTCCACCCAAACTTAATAACAGATCCCCTAAGATGTAAAATATTGTGCCTCCACAAATTAAAGGGAATTAATTGAGTTTCAGCTATCTATTATTTCACTTAGTTTAAATTCATCTTAAAATAATTTATTAGTGGTGATCTACTAGGCAGGCTAAAGCTAATTAGTATCTTTAAGAGTTTTTAAAGAATCTTGCCCATTTTGTAATATTTTGGGGGTCTAACTGTGGGCTGTGAAACAATATGTCCAAAGTAAGCAAAGGGTGCTTTCTTTTGTGCCTTATCAGGAGTAATTATAAATCTTTGAGACTGAAGAGCTTGTTAAAGCTCACCCATTAATAAGGAGAGTTCGCTAGTAAATAGAACAACTGTAAAATTTATCATCCATATAATAAATTATTTTTTTCTGGGAATATCTCTGCCTAACAAGTTTAATAGTGTGATGAACAAAATTTTTGCACATGGTAGAAAACATTCCTTCTTAAAGGAACATAATAGGAAAACTTCAAATACTAATTTAATAGAGATGACTATACCCAAATTAAAACTCAAAACAGTTAGTTATAGTCGTAAGAATCTTTTGCCTTAAATAGCAAGTTTTACTAATCATGGCTTAAAGCCAGATATAGTTAATTTTACTCCCATGGAGTTGTAATAAGTAACAAAGATTTAGTAGGACACACATACATAAGAGATTTCACTTAACATCTTTCTTTTTCAAATTTAAACTTGTTCTGGGGGCAGCTAGTTGGCACACTGGATAGAGCACCGGCCCTGAAGTCAGGAGGACCTGAGTTCAAATCCGGCCTCAGACCAAAACTTAACACTTACTAGCTGTGTGACTCTGGGCAAGTCACTTAACCCCAGTTGCCTTAAAAAAAAAAGTCAGAAATTTAAACTTGTTCTGGTAAAAAAGCCAATTATTAGAAATCATTTCTATCTATTATATATAAAGTTGCAATTTCTCAGCAAGTTAAGTTCATTGTTTAAGAACTGCATAATCCTAACAAGTTCTTTTTTTCTTCTTTTCTTTTCTTTCTTTTTTTTTTTTTTTTGATTTTTCCTCAGGACAGATGACCTTGCCCAACAGATAGTTACCAGGAGCCCAGGCAAATTTACAAAGTAGAGGGAATTGCCTTGTGCCCCTCCTTTTCACTCATAAGTAATTAAAAATTCTAGGTTTTAACATTAAAACATTAACATTTAACATTAAAACATTTAACATTAAAATCAAATAACTTAATTAACAATCTGGTAATTTTCATAAGTGATAGTCAACTTGTTTTAGCTATAAACTATTCTTTAATTACAGGTAAAGATGGAAATACCTGATTTTCTAATTGACAGTTATAAAACATTATGAGACAAAATTAACTGGACTTGATAAAATAATTTAGCTGTTTTTTACACAGCTTTCCCCTATCTTTCAGTCTTTAATTCACATTTTAATAGAATCTAAATTATTAAAAATTGTTTGACATAGCACAACACAATACAAAAGTTTACCAATTTGTAACAATACTAGATTTTTAAAACTTGAAACATATTACTGATTTGAATGAGCTAAATTATCTTTTGATTGCGTTCCAAATACATTAAAAAAAACTTTTCATTAATATCTCCTATTCACTATTCTCATTCTGTCTCTCACACCCCAACTTGGCCAGGGTTGGAATGCGAGAGAAAGGAAGAGAATATTTTCCAACAACTTATCTTGATAATCTTTCAATTTTACACCCAAAGCTTTGGCCAGAGCTTTAGAATGCAAAAAGGAAATAATTTTTTCCTAACAATTCTCAAAAAGTTTCCAAACCTTTTTACTTTCAAAACCTCTAATCACACTGTGCAAATAAATTATACCTTCCTTATGCTTGCTACACATACTCCTTTCTCCTACATGCTTAAACTTACTTGCCTTTTACAAATCATAAAACCTAAATAATAAAATATTTTTTCTCTCCTTCTATCCCCATCCACCTGCTCCTGGGAGGAGGCTGGTATTAGGGAGGGGGGAAAGGGGAGAAAGCTAGCTGGCTGCAAAAGGTTTCAGATTACACACATACACACAGATACTCACATAGAACAGATAACATAATGACAGAGAGACTCTCGGTTCAGAGAGTTCATAAATCCCCTACACAAAGCAGACAACTCCTTTAGAGAATGAGCTTTCTCCACTTCTGTTGTTTAAGAGAAAGGGAATACACATCTTTCACCTCATCCTCTCCTGCAATTCTAAGTTTCTCATCAAATAGTCTATTCGTCTCTTCTTCTTCCTCTCTTCCAGCCCCCGCATTTACCCTGGGCACTTTTGTTGCTAATGGCACATTCTCTGGAGGAGTGAGACATATTTTTAGCATGTTCCAAAATTACTGTAGCTGACTATTTGTAACAAATAAACTCCTTTCTGTCACTATTTCATTGAAAAGTTTTAGATAGCATTCTTTGTCTATGATTCCGCTTTGTGTTTGACCCATACTTTCAATCCCAGGCACGCCTCCCAAAACTGAAAGTAAGTGTGCGTGGCCGTTTCAAAGCAACACTATCTTTTGTGCTCGAGCCCCTTTTCCTTTCTATTCTTATGCTCTATTACCGAGCCTTTATTCTATCTTATCTCTAATCTCCCACTAAGCCTGGTGACCTTAGCCCTAAAACTGCTAAGGGATAATTTGTAATGACTGTCGCTCCCTTTTCCTTGAATCCGCAGCGTCCAGCTGCCAAGGACCTTGTTCCACAGCGTAATAGCCGCCAAGGGTTTTTTCTTTTCTATACAGTATACACCACAAGAGGGATTGAGTATGTGACCTTGGCCCTGTCAATACACATCCCTGGCTTCAGTTTCTTCATTTGTAAAATGAATGGCATGGAAGCCATCATCATTGTAGGCCATTCTAAATCCTCTGATCTTGAGTGAAGAGAATACTTGGAGAAATGAACTAGGCCATCTTACATGTTCTAGATAACAAGCAAAACTGGGACAAGATATAAGAGAGCTGAAGGTGCTAGATGCTAATCCACTGTGCTCTGCACTCCTGGATTCAAATCACTTTCTTGTGGATGTCTTTCACCTATGTTCCCATCATCCTGAAAGTGTCCTATGTGTGCGGCTCTACCCCCCTGAAAATGTCTGACCTCATGTCATCTCAGATGGTAAGCAAGGTCAGGCTTAGATAACATATGGATAGGAGATTGCCTAGGAATGTTTGCTACTGCATCTGAGAA